TTGAGACAGGACGCCGCCTGCCCAACAGCGGCCGCTGTTGGTTTGGGACAGCAGTTCTTGTTGGGCATTGTATCCATTGTTTCCGTACCCATTTCGGGCGTCCAAAATGGTATTGAGGGCGCGTTTTAGCCCACTGCGTGCGCACCCCGTGCGGCTCCACCGAGAGAGCACGCAGCCTGCGTCGGCCGTATCACTGCGCCGTCACTGCGCCGCACTGAGCTGGTGGCCAAGCATGCGCGGATCCAAGGAAATCCACGCGGAGCGCCGCAAGCTTATGTTTACAGTGGAGGCCGATTAGCAGTAGCAGGTCGACCCTGCCAAATCAAGAGTTCCTTCGTGTCCTGTGCCTCGCGACCCATGCTTTCTACATCCCTGTGGCAATTGTCCCCTCGGAAGGGTCTTGTGTCCTCTCGCGTGTCCTCTCCAATCAGCCTGGGCTGTATGCTTTTTTGTTCTTCTTCCAGATACGATCGGAGGTTGATGGACTTCTTCCCTGACACGACGATTAGCGAATTGGCCGATTTCGGTTCGCGATAGGGCGTCGCGGCCGTCATTCTTGCGGGTCCAGGTCCGTCGGTTTCAGTCCTAGGCCGTTTTCACTAAGGGGTGGTTTGTCAAAGGGAGGTTTGTCCACCGCCCATAATCCATGTTTTCGCGCCCCCGATTAACGGCTCTTTGATCGGGTACCGTTATTGCGGAGACCTCTCCCAGGGCCCCAGGGACTGTTTCCCAACGATTGTGTCCTCTCGCGTGTTCTCTCCAATCAGCCCGGGCTGTATGCTGTTTCTTCTTCTTCCAGTGACGAGTTCTCGCCCGCCGCCGCTGCCGTCGCCGTGCTTTTCTGCGCCGCCGCCGCCGTCCGCCTCGTCGGGCCGGTGCGAAGGTGCGAGGGTGCCCGCCGCCCCCCCCCCCTCCCCTGGCCCCACGCCCAGAGGTGGTCGCGCGGTTCAATTTGACGGGCTTCGACCCCATGAACGAGCTTGTCTGGACCAAAGGCGGGCGCGTCGACGTGGAGGCTCCTCCTCCTCCTCATCCTCATCCTCATCCTCCTCCTCTTCCTCCTCCTCCTCCTCCTCCTCCTCCTCCTCCCCCCCTCCCCCTCCCCCTCCCCCTCCCCCTCCCTCCTCCTCCTCCTCCTCTCCTCCTCCTCCTCCCCCCTCCCCCTTCCCCTCCCTCTCCCCCTCACCACTCGGGCGCTCCGCGTGGAGCCAACTTGGTTTTCGTCACTCTGGGCTTCCTGTCACTCTGAGGTTATGTTCATGGTGTTCTTTCCTCGTCACTCCGGGCTTCCTGTCGTGATGGAGTGGGCGCTGCCTGGTACAAAGACAATATCAGAGGCAGCGACGGCGGGAGCAGCGTGGCGTGAGGGAAATGGTGACTTCCAGACCCCTCTGCGCTGCGAGCAAAAACACACGACGGGAGATTTGATTCGTTATTTCTGGCCTTGGGGAGCCTTTGCCAGGCTTCGGCCCAGTAGAAGAATGACTCAGACTGAAAATATGGTCCCCAGGAAGGGGTCCAGACCTCTAGGGGTCCACGTTCTGACAAAGAAATATTATGCTAACGGAGTTCCCCACATAAAGATATTAACGGTCTCGTGGGACCCATGGGGTACGACAACATCAACACGAAGGAGAAGCTGGAGAGGTGGGGCCTCCCTGGGGAGGTGGGAAGGGCACGAAACCATGTAAATAGTATGGGTTTCCGATACCCTCCTCGCTCAGGCGGGGCCTCCTTGGAGGGATGGGAGGGGCACGAAACCATGTAAATAAAATAGGTTTCCGATACCCTCCTCGCTCAGACGGGGCCTCCATGGAGGAGATGGATGAGCACGAAACCATGTAAACAGTATGGGTTTCCGATACCCTCCTCGCTCAGGCGGGGCCTCCCTGGAGGGGTGAAAGGGGCACAAAACCATATATATATATATATATATATATATATATATATATATATATATGTATATATAGTACGGGTTTCCGATACCCTCCTCGCTCAGGCGGGGCCTCCCTGGAGGGGAAGGAGGGGCACGAAATCATGTAAATCATATTGTTTTCCGATACCCTCCTCGCTCAGGCGGGGCCTCCCTGGAGGGGTGGGAGGGGCACGAAACTATGTAAATAGTATGGTTTCCGATACCCTCCTCGCTCAGGCGGGGCCTCCCTGGAGAGATGGGGGAAGGGCACGAAACCATGTAAAGAGTATGGTTGTCCGATACCCTCCTCGCTCAGGCGGTAAGTAGTATGGTTTTCCGATACCCTCCTCGCTCAGGCGGGGCCTCCCTGGAGAGGTGGGAAGGGCACGAAACCATGTAAATCATATGGTTTTCCGATACCCTCCTCGCTCAGGCGGGGCCTCCTTGGAGGGGTGGAAATGGTATTGATATGGGAGGCGGGAGGCGGGAGGGAGAAGGAGAGCATGTTCTGGGAAAACAAGAACCCCACTCAGGATGTGGGGAATCAAACACAAACATATGTTTAAAACAAAAAAGCAAAAAAATGACGTCGGGGATCTGGGTTGGAGAAAAGAGATCTTCTGGAGGTTCTAGCAGCCCGGGCCGCTCAGCAGCAGCGTGGACCGACGAGGCGCACTGGCTTGACATGGGTGTCTTTGCGTGCTGCGACGAGCCCGCCGCAGAGTTGCCCTGGAAGCGTGCATCGAATCCATCCTTGAAATTGTTATCTGAACCATGCACGGCCCCAAGCCGAACCGAAAACCTTAGCTTGTTTCATTGTTTTCGTCCTCCTGGGTCATTCCGGGGCCCCGGGACCGACAGAAACCGATTCGGAACAATGAAACGTTTGCCCCAGGGGGGTCAGGCCTGGTTTCAACCAGCACCTTGTGACTCCCCCTTCGTCAGGATCGTCCGACGGGCCTAGAATCCAGATAAATCCTTTGCAGAGCGTTCCAGAAAGCTCTGAAACGTCCGCGGCGGCTGATACATCCTCCAAATCCGCCGATTCTCACAGATTTCCGATTCGTATCGGTCCGATTTTGTCTCGATTCTGCCCTCATCTTAGATCGAGGGAGGATCGAGGAGAACAGGCCTTCAGGCGGCTCAGGCTCTTGGGGGGCCTCCGGAGACGGGACCCCGGGAGCCCTCCAGCTTTCAGACGACGCCCAGACCCCATGGCGGCTCGAACCGTCGCGCCTTGGTCCAGGGCCTCAGGGGGGTAGGCAGGACGCGGTGTCCCGGAATGGTCCTAAAACAACCTAATATTGTTCCTCTTCCTAGTCTTCTTCGTAGTACCACCACCACCACTACTATTATTATTATTATTAGTATTATTCCTATTACTACGACTACTACGACTACTACTACTACTCTTACTATTACTACTACTACTACTACTACTACTACTACTACTACTACTACTACTACTACTCATGCTACTAATATTGCTTCTGCTACTGCTACTGCCACTGCTACTAGTTCTGCTACTACTACTACTACTACTACCACCATTACTACTACTACTACTACTACTTCTTCTTCTGCGACCTCTACTACTACGACTACAACAACAACTACTACTACTACTCCTACTACTACTACTACTACTACGACTACCATTCTTAGGATTACCACTACCACTACTTGCACGACTACCACCACCACCACTACTACTGTTACTATTACCGCCACTACTTCAACTACTACTACCACAACAACAACAACTACTACTACTACTACTACGACTACTACTACTACTTCTACTACTTCTACTACTACTACTACTACTATTACTATTACTACTACTACTTCTACTATTACTACTACTTCTACTATTACTACTACTACTACTATTACTACTACTACGACTACTACTACTACTACTACTACTACTACGACTACGACTACGACTACGACTACGACTACTACGACGACTACTACTACTACTACTACTACTACGAATGCTACGACCATGACTACTTCTATTGCTACGACTACTACTACTACCACTATTGCTACTACTACTAGTCGTACTACTACTACTACTACTACTACTACTACTACTACTACTACTACTACTACGAATAATAATACGATTACTACGATTACTATTTCTACGACTACTACGGCTACAACAACTACTACGACTACTACGACTACTACTACCACTATTACTACTACTACTACTACTACTACTACTACTACTACGACGACTACGACTACGACTACTACTAGTCTACTACGACGACGACGGCTACTACTACTTACTACGACTACGGTCATTAATATGAATATCAGTACTACAACTACGATTGCGACTACGACTTCTGATACTGATGCTGCGACTGTTACTTCCCCTACCACTACTACGCCTAATGATAGTAGTGTTATCACGACGACGACGACGACGACTACTACTACTATGGCTACTACTACTACCACGTCTACGACTTCTACGACTTCGGCTTCTACTGCTACTACTAGTACTACTACTGTCAGTAGTCTTAGTATTACGATCATTATTAATACTACTGCTACCACTACCACTACTAGTAATACTAGTAGCACTGCTACGGCCACTGTTGCTAGTGATGCTGCTACTGCAACGAGTGCTGCTGTTACTACTACGACTACGACTATACGATTACTCGTATGAGTATGATCACCCGCGTTAGTACGAATAGTCGTATTAGCACTGTAGTTGTACGAGTGGTCCTACGATGAACATCCCAATTGCGATTACTATTATTTGTGTAGGCCACATCGTACGACTACCACTGTGCACGAGTGTTGCCAATCGGTCCATTACAACTAACACTTCGCATTATTCCTTTGAATACTCCGAATGGTGAGAAAGAGGAGTGAAGGAGGACAACCAGGGTAGTGACGATTGCTACTAGTAGTATTGAAATTCCGTCGACGACGGCCACTACTACTACCAATAGTATCATTATCCTTACTTCTCTGGCTACCATTTCTTCTACTACGATTACTGCTACTTGTGCTATTATTAGTGTTGCTATTACCCTTACAACTATTAGTGATA